TTTATTATTCATTTAAACTTATTTATTTAACATAATGAGTATGATCTGTGATTGTTTATTAACAGATCCATTCATTTTGCTTAACCCAAAACTTAATTGTCTTATCATAACTACTAGATATGAAAATATCTTCATTAATATTCAGAATTAAACAACTAACCCAACTATTATGTCCTTGAATAGTTTATGAGCAATTCCATTAAGTATTATTATTGCTTGACCATATTAAAATAGATCCACTTCTATCTCCAGATATAAACTAATTTGATTTTTTCATGAAATTTAAAGTTGATACAGCTGAGTTATGTTGATTTAAGACTTGAATTAATTTCAAGATTCCTTATTTAAATTCATATATTTTTATTTAATTTTCACATCCACTTGCTACAATTGAGGAATCTTTATTAAAAGCAATTGCACCACAATATTCCCTTTACTTTATTGAATGTTCTTTGATTATCTGATAAGTAAATGGTTTTAAATTAGATTATTATTATGAAATTATTAATGATTATTATTATTGAACATTCATTTATGAATTTATTATTGATTTCAATTCTTAAACAATATTTGATTAAAACTCAGATTATTCAATATATTTAAATTAATGATGTTTTGGCAAAGCTAATTCAAATTTAGGATTGTTTAACTTAGGAATTGAAGAATCTATTAAAAATAGTTAATCAATAAAATTATTGATATTATCAAAACATTACTAAACAAATGTAAATCATAAATTTATACATCTAAATGCTTCTCTATTTCATTCATATGGCATCCTATTTAACTATCTAACACTTACTCTCTAATCATTTCACCTCTAATTCTATTAAATTTATTTATTAAAATATTTTTATTTATTTGCATTTTGCGATTTGCAATTAAATTAAGTGAATTTAATTTATGAAGATAAAAATTGCTAAAGAAGCCTAAAATATATATTTATCTAATAAAAAGGGCCAATTGAATATTAGCTTAAATTTAGCCTTTTTAGATGATTAAAAAAGTAGAAATTCATTTTGATCCCAATCTTATTTATGAAAAGAAAATATAAAATCAATAAATGCGAATATTCATCAAAACTTCAGTTAAATTATAAATGTTTATATCTTCTCAAAACCTATTGTCCTATGTATCTGTAGCTGACATCATTTATTGACGCTCACAGTAAAGCATATGGAATATCGAATTGTATTCATGAGCCATTGAATTTTTCAATGTTTGATCTAAGCCACATACTTTAATCTAAAAGCGAATATATCTGATAGATGATAATCAGCTTATTTTTCCATTTTTTTTAACTACATTTTCTAGAAACTGTTTTATTATAGGGGTTATTACATCAAAGCTGCCACATTTTATCCTAAAACCTAATAGGGAATACTACTTTATAATTCCAAAGAAGAACAGCAAAATCCAACTATAAACTAAGAACAATCCCCTATTATTTCTACTTTGATTGTGAATATGAAATGTTTATTCTTCCTATACTACTAAGATTATATGATAATCATATGTTGCCCTAAGATTTAATTATTAGATATTAGATATAATTTGTTTAAGGATTGTTAACTTTTTCCCCAATTCAAAGCGCATTTGCATAAAATTGTTTTTGAATCAATTGAACTGAAATAACTCAAATACCTTGAAATATTATATTGTATTTATAGACTTAGATTTTGCTCCAAATGAGCTAACTTTGCCATATTTGAAGGACTATGTTGATTAAAACTATTTAGCTAAACATTTGCTTTTGGTAGTTACTCTATAAAGTCCAAGATAAAAATTAAAGCTTCAGATTATCTCTGAAATCTATGTGGGCAAGGTTATGAGTAGAATTAAAAGTGAAAAAGTAATTATGACAACTAACTATAAAAGATTACCTTCTGAAATAAATGTTTTTTTTGGAGAATATAGTAAGTTTCAAACAAAACATATGCAATATTGATTATTATTATTCAGTTCCTTTATAACAATTTATCAAAAATTTAGAGAGAACCTTTGAAGAATATCATGTTATTGGCTGCTCTGAACATAATGGGGAATTGGATTAAGTAATTGTTTCACTCTTTGTAACCTCTTAATATAAATAGAATGATATATATAAAAGTTAACTTCTTGGTATTTACATGCTTATGAGACTGTGCATAACATTGATTCAATTCAAAATAATCAAAAGAAAAAGTTAAATATTAAATACAAATAGTACATAGAAGATGACTTAGTGAGCAAGAGATGTTACCCATTGAAACTTCATATAATTCAAATTAATAATATTAATTTTAGTCATCA